TCTTGAGCTTCACTTCAAATTCATTTTGGGCTCTCTTGGCAAACTTTTTGAAGCAAGATGCAACTTCGGATTTGTCATGAAGGAAGAATACCTATGTATACCTTGAATAATCATCAACAAACACAAGACAATAAAGATTTTCTCCCAAACTCTTGTATGTTGTTGGTCCAAATAAATCCATGTGAAGGAGTTCTATCACTCTTGTGGTTGACATGAAAGCTTTGGTTGGATGAGTATTTGCAACTTGCTTGCCGGCTTGACATGCACTACAAAGCTTGTCCTTCTCAAACTTCACATCCTTCAACCCTCTCACCAAATCATTCTTCATTAGCTTCTTGAGTGAGCTCATCCTAACATGAGCAAGTCTTCTATGCCATATTCACCCAAGTGTTGTTTTGGTGAATAGGCAAGTCTTCAAGTTTACATCTTCGGAGGTGAAGTCCACTAGATATAAATTGTTGTATCTAAATCCTTTGAATATAACTTGATCACCATCCTTCTTTGATACAACAACTTTCTTCTCGGTAAACAAGCATTGGAAGCCAAGGTCACACAATTGCCCAACGGATAGCAAGTTGAAGCTCAATGAAGCAACATATAGCACATTGGAGATTGAATGATCATTTGATATTGCCACTTTGCCCAATCCTTTAACCTTGCCCTTTGAGTTATCTCCAAATGTAATTATTTCTTGTCCATCCACTTCTTCATCTAGTGAGGTAAACATACGAGGATCACCGGTCATATGTTGTGTGCAACCACTATCAATAACCCAATGACTTCCACCGGTCTTGTAGTTCACCTATACACAAGAGATCAAGCTTTAGGAACCCAAACTTGTTGAGGGCCTTTCACCTTCTCAACAAGTGATTTTACAACCCAAATTTTCTTAGGCCTATTCTTATTGGGAGGTTCTAAGAACATCACTTTCATCTTTCTACTAGAATCTTTTCTAAGCATGTAGTGAGCATTAAAGGCAAATAGTCTAGCATGCTTGGGCAAGGGTTGTGGTGGTGGAGTTTGGCACTCATGAGCAAAGTGGCCTTCTTGTCCACACTCAAAGCATCTCTTTGGCTTTGGCTTTGGCTTTGATTGTTGTTGTTGAGCTTGAGCCTTCTTCTTCTCTTGATTTGCCATGTACCCAATGCCACTTCTATCCATCTTCATGACAGTGTTCATTAGGAGCTCACTTTGAAGATACTTGCCTCTAGTGAACTTGCTCAATCCAATCTTGAGATGCTCTTTCTCCAACTTAAGCTTCTTGTTCTCTTCCTTAAGAGCATCATTGTTCTTCTCTTCCTTGAGCTTCTTGTTTTCTTCTTTGAGCTTCTCATTCTCAAGGATCAAGTCACCATCATGATCAAGGGTTTCTAGCACAATGGTGTTGTGGCTTTTGATTTCTTCAAGATCTTTCTTGAGCTTTGCATTGTCATTCTTGAGCTTGACAAACTTATCATAATCATCGGCCTCAACCACTTGCTTGCCCTTGCTACTAGAACCTTGCTCAATGCTCTCAATGATCAAGTCATCATATGATGTAGCTATATCAATCTTAACAACATGGTTAGTAGCATCATGTGGCTCATTGGATAGAAATTCTTGAGCAATGACAAGATTATCATGATTAATCTTAAGAGTGGTATATTCTTCTTTTAACTTGTTTTGGCTAGTGATGAGCTCTTTGTGCACCCACTCAAGTTTATCATGTTTATCTTTAAGCTCTTTCTTAGAAGATTTGAGCTCCTTGAGTTTGGATGACATAGCTTCATTTGCTTCTCTAAGCTCAACACTAGACTTTTCGGCTATGTCACATTTAGCTAAGAGAGAATCATTCTTAATCTCAAGCTTTTCATTTTTAGCTCTAGTCTTTATAATGATCTTAGTGTATTTCTTTAGCAATTTAGCAAGATCATCATAAGTAGGTGATTCATATTCATCATCATCGCTATCACTATCACTATCATCATTATGAGCATGATCATCACCACTACTATCATCATCATGTGATACCTTTCATTCACCTTTGGCCATAAGGCATAGGTGTGTAGAGGATGATGGCGGTGGTGACGATGAAGATGATGAAGAATCAATAACAATAGCGGCCACCTTCTCGTCATCACTATCATCATCGGATGATCCACTAGATGAATCAATGTCCGTGAGCCAATCACCAACGATGTAAGCCTTTCCACTCTTCTTCTTCTTGTGGAAGTCCTTCTTGCCATCGCTCTTCTTGTATGGCTTGTTCTTTTTCTTCTCATCTTCATTTTCACTGCTTGAGTCATCTTTCTTGCCCTTGTTCTTATTCTTGAACTTATCTTTCTTGGGCTTTGTGCATTGATGAGCTAGATGACCAAGTTCGCCACAATTGTAGCAATCCATCTCGGAGATTGGCTTTCTTCTTGAGCTTGTGAAAAACTTCTTCTTCTTGCCATCGAACTTGATGCCACTCTTGTTGAGCTTCTTTAGCATCTTGGCAGTTTTCTTCACCATGAGAGCAAGGCTTTCATCATCAACTTCATCATCACTTGAGCTCTCATACTCAAGCCTTGCTTTGCCCTTCTCTTGGCTAGCTTTGAATGCTAAGTCTTTTTCTTTCTTCTTTGTAGAGGATGAGCCATCTTGAGGTGTGATGTGCATGTACATCTCATGAGCATTGATCTTTCCCAAGATTTGTGTCGGTGTAGCGGTGGAAAGATCACCTTGATGTAGCACGGTCACAATATGCCCATACTTGTCAATGGGAAGGACACTCAAGATCTTTCTCACAACATCAGATGGTTGCATTTGAGTGAGTCCAAGCCCATTAACTTTCTCTACAAGAATATTCAAACGTGAATACATCTCATTAGCACATTCTTTGGATCTAAGGGCTATTTTGGAGCAACCTAGCGCTAGTTTTAACAAGTGTGCACCACACCTAACTCACTAGACTCACCTAGGTCAAGCTACCCGTCCATATCCCCCTTAATAGTACGGCCAAAGGAAAAACAAAGTCCTAAACTAATCTAAGTGTCTCTCCAACTCCAATTGACACTTAGAACTAGTCCATCCTTAACCTTGTCATCCATCCTTTGAAAACTAAAATGATTTCCATCGTAGGGACATGACCACCTTGATTGCCCAATCGATCTCCATTACCATGACCTAACTTAATTGCCTCTGCAAAACACACGTTAGTCATAGTAATCTTGTATTATCATTAATCACCGAAACCCAACTAGGGGCCTAGATGCTTTCAACTTTTTTTTGCCGAGTGTTTATTGACACTCGGCAAACCATTTACCGAGTGCGCGATAAAAAACACTCGGCAAATAGCTGTTTGCCAACACTGTAGATGTCGTGTGTTCTATGCCGAGTGTTATACTCGGCAAAGCCTTTGCCGAGTGTTTTTGGGCCTTTGATTTAAGCATTAACCTCATAGTATTTCTTTTATTCTTCGAGTTAGCTTTGGAGGTTTGGGAAGGATATAAATTTTTTAGTTCTGCTAGGAGCAGCAACTACTTATTGGTCGCTTATGAAGAAATGGTTTGGTTTTGAAAAAAAAAACACTCTCGTTCTCCTTTGTAGGCCATACATTCGATTATGCATTCACTTCGTACATAGGCTTTGCTCCAAAAGCATAACTTGTAGAATTTGATTGTAGTGGCGTCACAACAAATTGGCATAAGCGGCCAGTCTTTTTCTCCTAGGCACATGCAGGGGCGGATCTAGCACCGGGGCAGGGTGGGCTTGAGCCCCCGCTACCACTACTCAAAATATGAAGGCCTTCCTAAGTCCCTCCTACAAATTAGTACCCATGTAAGCTTAGAAGGAAAGGCTAGAGATGAAAGATAATGGAAGAAACCCCTCGTAATTAACCTGTTTTCATAGATCTGTTACCGAGCACGTATGGGTGAAGATCTAGCCTTAAGACTGATAGTCATATAGTGTCATGCTAAACCCCCGATCGAGAAAAAAATATAGAGTGTCGTGCTCTCTTTTTATGTACTGTTTTTCTTAGCTATTTGCTTTCATGCAGAGGTCGGAAGTATGTTGATGACTGTTGTATCAACTTGATGTAATAAACTTGAATTAGTAAAGCTATTCCTCCATAATGGAAACATAACATTCAACATGAAGTTGAATTAACCTACATTAATGCATATCATATTTTCTATTTTTGAGCTAAGATGCCAAGTTCGCTAACCATACTTAAGTAGAACAAAGGGTAGAAATGACCAACTTAATTTATTGTCTGTTCTAGTTGTAGCCACGAACTGATCTTAGAAATCGTCCTCATTTGTATCGTCCATTTGTGGCTAGAACCAATAGTAGCACCGATGGATTTATTACACCATCCGTTCATAATCGTTTGTCTAGTATAGATACGCGGTCTGTTGTTACAAAGCGATGGTGAAATAAAGCATTTCTGAAGACAGATGAACCGATGGTGGCATGCTTTTATGAATTGTGGCTACATTTAGGTGACAAACAAGTTTCATTTTTCATATCCATCTGTAGTGCTCGTTAACATGAACTACTCGAACGAACAATATTTTTCTCTCACAACAAATCAATATAAGCGTCAGCGTAAACCAAATCTCAACGAAACGAACAGGATGCAAGCATGGCGTGCATGCCGATGAATCGTGTACTCCATAATAAAACTGTACAAGCAGAAGTCGTCGTTGCTTTTGGACCGATGTCGATGCTAGCTTCAACGAATCGTGTAACTTGATTTATGCCAAGCTAGTAACTTGATCCAAGATACTGCTGCGGCTGCAATGCAAAGCCATGGTAAAACACAGATTACATTACCATGATTATTATCCAATCACACAGCATAAAACCATAGACCGAAGAAAAAAAAACAGACAGAAATCTAGATGACCACACACAAGATGATGGTCACAAACTCACAATTCACAAAAAACATACAAGCCCTGCAGATTGCACTGCTACACACTACACACTACACATGCACCGCTGCCAGTCTGCCAGTTCGCCACGCGCGCGCGCTAGCTTGCGGCCTCAACCTCAAGAACGGGCGCGAAGAAGTAGATGTCGTCGAGCCGGTCGTTGGTCGGCGAGTTGCCGCCATACACCAGCATCCCTTGCCGGCCGTCCTTCTCCCCCGCCGCGAACGCGCACCACCCGCGAGGCCCCGGGTGGTGCTGCTCGGCCTCCGCCCCCGCTTCCGCCTCCGCCTTGTCGTCGTTCACCAGCCGCGTCCACGCGCGGGTCTCCGTGTCGAGCGCGAACGCCTCGGCCGAGAACTTGCTGGCGCCGAGGTGTCCGAGATCGCTGGGGTCCACCTCGCCGCCAAACAGCACCACGTGCCTCCCGATCCCGGCCGCGCAGAACACGCTCCGTGGGCTCGGCCAGTCGCCCGTGGTCTCCACCACAGCCCACGACCGGGTCGCCGGGTCGTAGCAGTGCACGTCGTCGAGCTCCTCGCCAGAGAACCCGTACACCACCCACACCTTCCCGCCGGCGACTGCCAGCCCCGGTCCGCCGCGCGGGCGGCACGCCTCCCCCGGCGACGGCAGCTCCTCCCACCTCCCCTCCGCCACGTCGTACGCCCACAGGTCGTTCAGGCGCCCGGCGTCGCCGCACCCGCCAAACACGTACACCCGGCCGCGCTCCGCGTCGGCCGCCACGGAGTGGTAGCTCCGGTGCGGCGGGCCGTCGCCGTCGGCACCGGAGGACAGGAGCGTCCACGTCCGCGTCGCCGTGTCGAAGGCGTAGAGCTCGTTCAGCTCCTTGTGCTCCAGGCCCCGCCCGCAGAACATGTACACCGTGCCGCCCACGGCCGCCATGGTCACCCCCACGCGCGGCGGGGGCACGTCGCCCGTGGCGTCGACGAGCGCGGACCAGGTCTGGGTGGTGAGGTCGAACGCGTACATGGTGCTGTCCACCGGGACGCGCGGCGTGAACTCGCCGCCGAACGAGTAGGCCGTGTGTCCCACAAGGGTGATGGCGTGGGAGCTTCGTGCTCCCGGACCGGCACCCTTCTGCTCCATCTGGCTCAATTTTACAAGCATTGCGATTGCAAGCATAAGTGTGAACATGAACATCCATAGTGAATTCTCCCCTGAACATCTAATTTCACAAAGAAGATAAGCTTAATTATGCCACCCCAAACAAGAATTGAGGCTTAAATTCTGCATAAATGGAATCAGAATTTCAAGAAGCGTAGCATGCTTGTGATTTGATTCTGATCAAGTGACTAAACTAACAGGTAGATCGGCTAGCAGTGACCCTACGACTGCAAAATTTTGGCTTAATATTAGCTCAAATCTGCTGTTCCAGATAATCTAGGAATTTGATGGCTCTCAAACTTTTCGTCTAAAAAAAATCATTTTTTACGCTGGGGGGTTGAGGAGATTGAGCTGCAAAAGAAGCCGTTGACTGGAGGAGAACTTCACCATCACCGATTTCCATGTCAGCAGGGCTTTGACATGAGGAAGACGAAGATCCATGGAAGACAGAACTGAAATTCCCTCGTCGTCCTCACCCCACCAATCCCCCTTTGTAGATCACAGAGGATTCCGATTCCCCCGAATGGGTGGGTTTCAGCTAACGAAGCCCGAAAAGCGTTACTATCACCGACTGATCCCAACTCATTTTTAAACTTCACAGGACAGGATGACCTTGCAAAACTGATGAACGAAGAAACAAACAAATGTTTGAGAGAATCGAAACCAAACCTAAATCCGATTCAAACCTCAGAAGCGCCTCCAAGAAAGGGGCACGTGCCACTGAGAATTGGACGGGACGGAACAGTACGATAAAGAGAATTGGGGGAGGAGGAAGAGGAAGGCTAGGGAAGCAAACCTTCACCCAGGTTCCTGCCATTGACGCTCCCACAAAGCGGAGCTCTGCCTCTGCTTCCGCTACCCTGGCGTGCTCTGGTCTGATGAGGCCGAGCAGTGTCTGTTGAGGGAGTCGCTTTTGAGGTGCAGTGCAGAGCAGAGGATGGTGTCATCCTCGTCACATGCAGGCGCAGAGCAGCACGAATCTGGCCATTGCTGCCCGGTACAATTTCAATTCAGCCACCGCCGAGCTTGTTTGGCTCTTTGCATTTGTTTTCCGGTTCTCAGAGGGTGTGTGTCTCTTTGCTTATGTATTGTTGTATATATAATTGTCGATTTTGACGTAGACATTATATTATTATTAGGTATTTTGTGGGGCAGGTGTCCACCGGAGGTGACGTGCGTTGCTGCACGGACAAGTACCCAATGATTTGTCTAACTGTATCGGTTGTGAGTCTGTCTGAAGCCTGCCAGTGTAACAAAGAGTATGGTTTTATCTCCAATTCCAAGAGTGCCATTGTTTCAATTTTAACGATGTACGTTAGCGTCTTCATCTCTTACATCTCAGCTCAGCAGCAAAGCTCCCGTTGGATGGAGTTTGGCCTGTAGGAATGGATAAGCCCTGCTAACTGCAGAACGCTCCTCTGGTCAGTGGAAGCAGGTGGCAAACGTCACACCTTCACCGGTCACCACCCCTCCCGTCAGATTTGTAATGGAAGTTGACACACAGGTGGCAACGAGCGCTTTCGTACGAGGTACACTGCTCAACGTGGGTTCGACCTTAAAGATCTTTTGTTTGTTTTGTATGGTGTATGAAAGCTGAACGTGAGTTAAAATAGTGGCACACAAAGGAAGTTTAAGAATTCCAGTGACATAAAGAAAAGTCATACTTTTTTTGCTGGAATTGAAAGAAATTAACTCTATATTATATCACTTGTGCACACAGCACTCAACCAAAGAAAAGTTCATCTTATCACCTCTAGGTTACATGGAAAAATAAGAAAAGTAAATTTGAGCCAATGAGTTTCTTCTCTTAAGTAGCCTTTAAATCTTTTCACATAAAAACAATGCCATGTATTTGCCTAGAACAGTGCCACCATATATATAAACCAGCTTACAGATGTGTGCGTCGTTATACGAAGTGTTGAGATTGAAATGGTCTAGTGTAATTAGTGCTATGGTCAGTAATCAAAACGTTGGTATTTAGAGTAACTATTAAGGAGCTCAAAATATGAAATCATGGAGTCAGCCCCCTGTCCCTATTCTCTATGGAACTAGAAGAGTTGATGGCTCAAAGTAGTCGCAAACATCTATAAGATAGTAAAAACCTGTCTCCATTTGTAATCTCGGACGACCTTCTAAAAATCTCATGAGACTGACTTTATACCATATCTATGGCCTTTTAATCTTTCCTTGGCCCCTGCCTAAGCCATAAACACTTCTTCATGTAACCCTACAAGAGTATATGAGCTACGGATTTAGGACATGGTTGGATCCGATAGATGCTAATAGTTAGCTAGCTAATAACTCATATATAATATTAGTTGCTTTTGGCCCAACTAGTAAGATGCGATTGTTACTTGGGTAATAGCTAACAATTATCTAGACTATTAGCTGACCCGTTTGGATCTAAAGGAAGCTAATTATACATGGATCCAAACATGACCTTAGAATACCATCAAGCTGTGGGCGGGTGGAGACTTCCCATGCACAGAGCATTGGCAAGGATTTGGTTCCATCTCAGATTGGTGGCGACAACGGTCAAACACGCTGGATGGCTAGACTACCGGCTAGAGCAGTCTGATCACTACCGTTACCAAGCTAGTTGCCTGGGAGTTGTAGAACGAAAGGAACTAAAAGATTAACGAAAGGAACTAAAAGATTTTAACCGTCACCACTCTTACGCGAAAGACCTCATTTCTAAGATCAAGGATGAGGCGAGACTTTGGTGCGCTACAGGAGCTAAACGTCTAAGAGAAATTGTCCCATCTGTGTAATTATGCATTTACTTCTCGAGTCGTGCTTGTGCTAGCCGTTCTTGCTGAGGTAAAGCAAATTTTTAGAAAAATGTGAAAAATAGAGCATGATTTAAGAAAAATATATGAAACCTCTTTTCATAATAGTTTGAGATAAAATATTTTTTTGAGGTTAAACCAGTTGTGATTTTTAATTTCATAAAATTTCCAAAAAAAACTTTTTGTTATTTGTTTTACTTCCTTAAACTATAAAAAAAGTCCAATTTGTCCTTCTGATGGTTAATTTAGTGTCACATCGGAAAGATCATAGTCCAAAACTATACATCTTTAATTAAAATTAAATTACAGAGGGAAAAATCAGGTTTTATGAATGCGTGGGGAAAATGAAAATCAAAGAATCACGAAAGCTGAGGAGAAAAGCCTTTTTCCGTGACTTCACAACTGAGGCCCAATCGGCACATACAATTGGGCCGAGGCTACCGGAGCCCACACGTGTCCTCACCATCCCTCAAAAAAAAAACACGTGTCCTCACCAACGGCTCTTTCTCTCTCCCTTCCCTTCTGCAGATTCCAACGGTCAAATCATCTCCCGTCTCTCTCTCTAAAAAAATCTGCGGAATCAATCACAATCACACGCGCAGGCGCAGAGAGGCGAGTGAGAGCATGGCAAGGAGGGGAGCGGCGGCAAAGGGCACCTGGAGGCCGAGGAGGAAACCCTCGCACGCGCGCGCGGACGTCGATCGCGACGGCGACGGCGATGGCACTGAAGGCGGGCGCCCGCCGCCAAAGGGAAACGGAGCTGCCGCCGGCGCCAGTGGCGGGTTCTTCTGCTGCTACCTGCTCCGGTCCCTCTGCCCGCTAGCAAGGGCCGCACCTACATCGGCTTCACGGTGAACCCACGCCGCCGGATCCGGCAGCACAACGGCGAGATCGTCAGCGGCGCGTGGCGGACCCGGCGCGGCCGGCCCTGGGAGATGGTGCTCTGCATCTACGGCTTCCCCTCCAACGTCGCCGCCCTCCAGGTACGCGGCTCCTCGACCCTAGCCCGGTTGGTCTCTGCCTCCGTCTTCTCGAACGGAAATCTTGCTATGTTCTCTTGCTGATCTGAAGAGCTCTGTTTCGTGGCGTGCGCTCTGCAGTTCGAGTGGGCGTGGCAGCACCCGACGGAGTCCCTCGCCGTGCGCAAGGCCGCCGCCGAATTCAAGTCGCTCAGCGGCATCGGCAACAAGGTCAAGCTCGCGTACACCATGCTCAACCTCCCCTCATGGGAAAAGTAAGCAAAAGCCCCTTCCTTTATCTCTGATCTCCGTTCCTGTCTGCATTTCTTGGCTATTCATAATGGTCATGGTATACTGATGTGGAATGTGATGCTGTGTCGTCAGCCTGAACCTGACGGTGAACTTCTTCTCCTCAAAGAACACCAAGTTCACCGCCGGCTGCCCATCGCTGCCGAAGCAGATGAAGACTGTCGTCTGCGCGATGGAGGATCTGCAGTGCCAGGCCGATGGCCCGTCATCTGAGGAGGATGGCAATGACATCCGTGACAGTGAAGAGCCCCAAGATACTGACGAAGAACTGTCCGATTCGCCTCTCCGAGATGGATATTCATATTCTGACCATTGTTTCCAGCAACTGTCCTCTGATCAAGTGCAGCCAATGGACGAGCAAACCAGAGCTGTGGGTTCTGATGTCCAGGATGACTTAGCTGACGAGCTCGCTCCTTCAATGGAAAGGAACGAAATCCTTGACACAAGAAGAGAACTGAATGGACCAAGAACATCGCCTCGGTGTTCCTTGAGCCCGTGCAGCGACGATGACGGATTGGAAGAAGAGACAGGACTGATGTCTCCGTTATTGATGCCCAATGCTAGTTCAGATGATGGTGATGGCCGCCATATCCTCGATGGAAACCATGTGGTAGACTTGGTTACCCCGACTCCAGTAGGCCGGCTCCGGAGAAGAGACTGCATTTCCAGCATTTGCCCAAAGATTATTGATCTGACGTCCTCGCCTATTGTCATTCAGTTGTAGTGCCTTGCTGCATTGCAGTGTACTAAATGTATCTTGTAATAGTGACACTTTTCACTGTCATGCCATGAATAAGTTAAAGAGTGTAAGATAGATACACACAGGAGCATGAACATATGAATGGAAGTATCTATGAACAATTCTCAATCAGATGTGATTACGTTGCTCTTCTCTCGAAAGAAATCTACCGTATTGGTACAACACGTAAGATAAATTTACTTTTTTCTGTGGCATGATGCCTTTTCTTTTCAGTTCAATTGTTTGAGATGAGCAAACAACACAGTACACAGATACTTCAATCAAGAAGAGACAGTCTAGTATGATGGTTGACAAGGTCAGGAATGAAACCAGGTTTACAACAAACAGTACCTTACCATATATTATCAATCTGAACGATTGTTTCGCTCAAAAAATCTGAACAATTGTTCGTTGACGCAATGGATCCAAGAGAGACTGCACCAAACTTTCTTCAACGAGAGGTCGGTTGTGCACAAACCCATTGCTAAGTAGTAGTACTAGTACATATTTGGATATACTAGCATTGCCAAAATCGTTCAGACTGTAATTGGCTTATGCAAATAGTACAATTCATGTTCATGCTACAAAGATATACACGCGTGAGATACTGAATCGATTGTTCAGCAACAGAAAAAAAGGAGTCTACGTGATATTCAGTTGTTTTCGTCCCTCCTATCAACTGAATTTTTTTCATATACTTACAATATCTTCTAGCTATATTTACACTGTCTTATTATTAGATTTACAATGATTTCTTCAGTGTAATTTATTGAACACGGTGGTGTATTTTGGAGATAATACAAATATATGCCAAAATTTTCAGAAATACTTTCAAATTATTTTTATGAATTGCAGATAACAGAGAAATATATTTCAAATTATTCACAAATTTTTCATAAATTTCAAAACAATTTTTCCCAAATTGTGGTGGGACCCACCTCCCCAACCTTATCCCTTCCCTTCCGTCGCCTGCGCACTTCTCTTCCCTTCCCTTCCCTTCCATCGAATGCGCACGCAAACAGAGTCCGGAGAAGAAGCAGCAACGGTGATCCCGCCTGGGGGCAGCCCTCCTCGTCGGCCTCCTCGTAGCCGGCCGTCGGCCCTCCTCATAGCCGGCTGTCGGCCCTCCGTCGGCCATTAGCACATGCTCCATTGCAAGCCACGTCACATGCGCCCGCCATGGCCGGGCCACGAGCTCTGAGTCTGGATGGAAAGGTCCTCATTGATCATGTAGCCTGTTCTTGTCAGTTGCGCAACTGCAAGCCGTCCGCGTAAGATTAGATGGTCCAAAAATCAGTTGATTGGAAAGGCCAAATCAACCGGTTGAGGTTTAACAATTCTGAAAAAAATACTATCAAAAGGAGGCAAAGAGATAATCTCTCTATTTTAAGATAAACCAACTTTTAAAGTTATTTTAAATCACGAGATTAAATTAGCTCGTGAGATATCATAAAATATTTTTTTATAATATATTTATTTAATGATGTAGTTTGATAGATATTAATTTTAAATTCTTTTGACTTGGTTGACTATAGAAGTTAAGGGGGGTGTTTGGATCATTAGGCTCAAGTTTAGCCCGGATCGAATGGGATGTTTCGATGCCAATTAGGGGGATTAAAAGAAGTACCAGATATACAATAAGCCAAAATCGTTCAGACTGTAATCGGCTTATGCAAATACAATTCATGCTACAAAGATATACACACGTGAGATACTGAATCGCTTAATCAGCAACGGATAAAAAAATACTATCAAAAGGAGGCAAAAGAGATAATCTCTCTATTTTTAAAATAAACCAACTTTTAAAGTTATTTTAAATCAATTACTTATGAGATTAAATTAGTTCGTTAGATACATCATAAAATATATCTTTTATAACATATTTATTTAATGTTGCAGTACCATAGATATTAGTTTTAAATTTGTTTGACTTGTTGACTATAGAAGTTAATTTATTTTTGGGAAGAGAGGAGTACAAAGTGGTACTCTGGAAGTCTGGAGGCCACAGTATCATAGATATTAGCAGTCATGGGCATTACCTGTATGCTGGTCCTCTGGTCTGGATGGAAAAGGTACTGGATCATGTAGCTGTTCTTGTGTCCAGCGACTTGCCTGGACACCGTGTTTAATGGAAGCCTTTTCCATCTAAAAAAGATACATCCTATTTTTCTTTAAACGGAAAGCGAACCATAGATATTGTAAAATGCTCATTTGCTTAGTCATCTGCAAATGTTAGTGGTTGGATGGTCACCCATTTCTATCCAGCTTTCGACCATCGCCTAGTGTTTCTTGATCTTATTTAACATCCAATGCCTAGCGAGTGCTCGTTGGACTGGCGTCATTACCAATAATACCGTGGACGATCAACTATTCCTATCCTGCTGTACCACACTTTAATTATGCAACAGACAATGCCTAATGTCTTCCCATTGGACAGACGTCACTAGACTTATGCTTTAGTTATATATATCCTGTTCGGATACATGCAGAGCTCATCTGCTCCTGATGGATGGATCTGTGTTCCTGTTCCATCGTTGGTTTACTGGATTGTGCGGTGGTGGCCGTGGTCGATGTGATTATGCTAGTCGTTGGGGAGTGGGTTGAGTGCTAGGCGAAAGCCTTTGCCTTGCTGTCGGGCTGACGATGACAATGCTTTGGAAGTTTATTTCCTGGTGGCGTCTGTCGATGCATCTCCTCCTCTCTCGGTGTGGATCCTGCGGGAGAAATCTCTGTCCATGTTGGATCGGCAGCGGCAGCATTCCTACGTCGTGCTCGTTTGTGAAGGCGTTGTCATTACAGTTCCACACACGGTTCCACTTTGGTGGCTTCGTTTTGACATCAAAGTTACTAAGTAAATGAGGATGCGAACGATTGCTACTACACAAGATCAAATTTTGAGGCCTGACATCAAGAGTTTCTAAGTAAGCTAGGATGCGAAGGATGGCTAGCGGTGCACAAGATCAAAATAAGTTTAAAGCAAATACATGGAAGTCGGAGGTTTAGTCTTTCTAGCTCTTTTAGTCTTTATGCTCTTTGTTTTTGCAAACCTCAGTTTTGAGGCTTCGAGTCTAAAGACTCATGTAATCTTTGGCGGTGTATATCCACCTGTGGATATAGAGGCCGGATTTCTATCAATACAAGTCTCAAGCATGTCACTCACACAATCAAGTAATCATCACATGGGTACATGAGAGAGATTGCAAATGTTTATTACAAGTCTTGATTACATTACAAGTCTCATTTTGAAGGTATACAACACCAATTTGAGATTCCTGCCTATCGTAAGTGTGATTTGTGAATCGGATGGCTATTCTGAAATGATTTACCTAGGTTGAGAGTCCAATGTTTGTATTAATTTCAAGTAATTATTAGTGGGCGCCATTAACCTTGGGCATCACTAACATAAGCTCGGACAGACTCCTATCTGTTAGATATTTAGGTAATTTTAGTATTAATTTAATTCAGAAAAAGATTAAGAACAGGTTTGTGGCCTCATGTATGTGCACGTATGATCTAAGCGACATGAACATGTTGATGATACTAATAACCATGATTTTAATAACTGAAAATAGGGGATGAATTAGAACATACCCAGCGGCACCGGAGTCGGTTGCGCTAGTCGACATAGTGCCGTTATAGTAGTCGTCCCGATCGATGCAGTGCAGAGAGGTTGCAGTGCCGATCTCCTGCCGCCGCCACGAACGCCGAGAAGAAGATGAGGCTAGTCGAACGATCGGCAGTTGCATAGTCGCTCCCCAAAAACCTGATGGTCGCCCTTCACCCGAGCATATGAACATAGAGACGACTCGGTTTCGGTGGCCTGCTCTCCCTATTCCCGTGCTCGTAGGAACCGGGACAGGAAGGCTTGGCTGCAGCAGAAGCAATGGATGTGTTTGTGTGCGTTGGACCAAGAGAGACGAATGTTGAAGCGAGCCTTTCTATTTATCTCTATTTCTAGCAGCCAGGCAAGCCAAAGGGCGCATGTGCTAGCCTCACAAGGGAAGGAGACACCATGGGAGGGAAGGAGATGGGAGGAGAGGAGACGCGCGCTCATGGAAAACTCCCATAACTCTCCTCATAACTTTCCTCATTAGGGATAGAAACTACTCCCAAAACTTCCGCCACTCTTCTCATTATTTTCCTCATTTGGGGAGCATGCGCTACAGAAAACTCCCATAAGTCTCCTCATAACTTTCCTCATTAGGGGTAGAAACTACTCCTAAAACTCCCACCACTCTTCTCATTATTTTCCTCATTAGGGGGACTCATAACTTTCCTCATTAGGGGCAAAAATTACTCCTGAAACTCCTGTCACTCTTCTTATTTTTTCCTCATTAGGGGAGCACGCGCTACGGAAAACTCCCATAAGTCTCCTCATAACTTTCCTCATTAGGGGCCAGAAACTACTCCTGAAACTCCTGTAAGTCTCCTCATAACTTTCCTCAATAGGGGCAGAAACTACTCCTGAAACTCCCGCCACTCTTCTCATTATTTTTCTAATTAGCGCAAAACTCCCGTCATCATGAGGAGAAACTCCCGTAACTCCTGCCCATAATTAGTTTGAGTGGCAAAACCTTTCATGTCCCGCACTGCGTGCATCACATCGGGTCGGGGCCGGTGGTGGCACACGCATGTGTGGCTCGTCTCATCCTTTCTCAACCTTCTCAATATAGACAGACACAGTCTGTACATTTAAGTCGAGTCAACATTCAGTCAAAATTCCGTATGGGACTAAATAATATTGTGCACATTTTAATACATGCCTTAGAATTTATTTGATTTAATTAGAATATATGGGCCTGGTCCACATTAAATCTAACAATCCCCACCAAATTCTAGGACACATGTTAAATGCTCTCCAATCCATAGTTCTTTGATATACCAGAGTTTTAATGGAGACTATTAAGTTGAACATCCGTCTAGAGTAGGGGTTACACTCATTCACAACTAAACAAAAGACTATGCCTTTAATTGATAGTTTTGCA